CTTGCCTGGCATGTGCGAGGCACAGGGTTTGATCCTCAGCACCAAATAAAAATAAACAAACGCATTCTGTCCATTTACAACTACAAAAAATGATACTTGGGCTGGGGATGTGGCTCAAGCGGTAGCGCGCTCGCCTGATGTGCGGTGCGGCCCAGGTTCGATCCTCAGCACCACATACAAACAAAGATGTTGTGTCTGCTGAAAACTAAAAAATAAATATTAAAAAATTCTCTCTCTCTCTCAAAAAAATAAATAAATAAAAATAATTCTCCACATCAATAAATGAATTTCTATAGATCATATCAAAAGTTTAAAAAAAATGATACTTGTCTATTAAAAAAAAAAAAGAACTGTGAATAGCCAAGGTGCTTGCTAAAGGCAGAAAGAATAAGCAATGGACAGTAGAAAAAGCGAAGTTATAAAGATTAGTTACAACCATGTGTCCAATTACAAAAATGAGTACTGTCTTATGTATCTCCTCCTTATTTTGTTATGAATTTGTGTGTGTGAGCATGTAACAAATATCTTGGTTTTCTTCCTTCTCATATCCCCTTCTCACGTATTAACATATGCTGCCTATGTACCATAGTATTTAAGTATTGTCATCTTTTTAAAAAATATTTATTTTTTAGTTGTAGTTGGACACAATATCTTTATTTTATTTATTTATTTTTATGTGGTGCTGAGGATCAAACCCGGGGCCCTCACACGTGCTAGGCGAGCGCTCTACCGCTGAGCCACAATCCCAGCCCTTAAGTATTGTCATCTTTACACCACAGTATTTAAGTTATGGGATATTAAGGAGAAAAGTAAACATCACTTAGGGACTTTACATCTTCCTAGGAAAGGTTATTGCGTTTTCAATTATACAAAGGATAGTTGTGTCATGTCAAATGACATAGTGTGTTTTATTGGAATTATGATCTTGTAACTGTAATTACTTGGAGGTTAAATATAGTTTAAAGAGTTGTCCATGGGTACCAGGTTGACAAAGGTGGTTATGATGGTTAATTTTGTGTGTCAATTTAACTGGGCCACAGGATGTCTAGTTATTTAGTCAAATATTATTTTGGGTGTTTCTGAAACGGTATTTTGGATGAAATTTAGATTTAACGGGCTGAGAATATAGCTTGAAGGATGAGTGCTTGCCTAGTGTGTGTGAGGCCCTGGGTCTGACCCCCAGTACCATGCATGCAAAAGAAGGAAAAAGAGAGAGGGAGTGAGGGAGAGATTTAAATTGGTAGATGGAATAAAGCATATTGCCCTACATAATGTAAAACTCATCCAGTCCATTGAAGGTCAGAATAGCAGAAAAGACTGGCTCTACTGCCTTATGACCTTCAAAATGAGACATTTACAATTCTTGATTCTACAGCAGCCTGCTGGCATTCAAACTCAAACTGAAACTGGAACATCAGTTCTGCAAATTTTAGACTTGCCAACCTTTATAAATCACATGTGCCAGACATGTGTTTGTGTGTATGTTTCTCCTATTTCTCTGGAGAAAACAGGAATAAACTAAGTCATACTAAGTATTTTATGTAAAAGGTGTTGTATTTTTAAATTTCAAATCTTAATTATTCATTGCTGGTATACAGAAAAATTCTGACTTCTTAATATTAACCTTAAATCCTGCAACTTTGCTATAATCACATATTAGGGATTTTGTTATTACTTAGGATTCTCTATACACACAATCATGTTATATGTGAATAATCATGTTATGTGTAAACAAAGGTGGTTTGGCTACCTACCATCTAGGTTTGTGTAAATATGCTCTATGACATTTGCACAATGATGAAATCACCTAATGCGTTTCTCAGAAAGTGTCTCTGTCATTAAACAACACATGTATATGCATTTCTGCATTGGTTTTTCATTCTTCAGTATGTTTTAGATATAACTCCACATTAGTACATATAGAGCAGAAACTCTAGAATTTTATTATTTTTAATAGCTGCATAGTAATCCACTGTATGTTCTGCACTGATGGGCTTCAATCTTTATTATCTTTGCTATTAGAATACTGCAATGAACTCTTTAAACACCAGTCATTTCAACATGTACCTGTAAGATACACTCCTAAAAATAGAGTTTCTGGGCAAAAAAAATGTTTATTTGCAATTTTAATAGATATTGTGGTTGTTCTTCATGGGCTATTGTCAATTTGAACTTCCATCAGTAAAGTTATGATAATGCCCATTTTCCTGCTACTTCACCAATTAGAGTATATTTTATGACTTGTAGTATTTTCTGATAGGTGAAAATTATATTCTATTATAGTTTCATTGTAATTTTATTATTTTGAATGAGCTTGAACACTTTTATTATGTATTTGTGTTTCCTTTTTGTGAACCATTGGTACTCTTTGTCAATTTTGCTAATGGTTGCTGATGTCCTCATTAGTTTACAGGTACTTTTTATGTATTAAAGAAATCAATTCATTGTCTGTGGTATGAATTGCAATTTTTCACCCAGATTGCTCTTGATTTTTTTTTTTACTTGAGATACTTTTGCCCTTTTAAATTTTTTATGTACTTGAGCCATCAATTTTCTTTTATGGCTTCTGGGTATTGCTATGGAATGTTATCAGGATTACTTTAAAAGCCTAAAGCTTTATTTTTTCCCCCCATTTACTCTTTAACCTCTCTGGAATTTATTTTGATGCAAAGTATGAATTGTTAATTGTGATCCAACTTTACTTTTTTCAGATGGCTATCCAGTTGTGCCAACAATATTTGCTTAATTTTTACTGATTTAATAAAAAATATGTTGAACTTTATCAAATGCCTTTATAGCATTTATGAAGATGACAGATTTTTCTTTTTAAACTAATTATATCCTTTCATTTCTGAAAATGACATGTTATTCTTTTCATGTTATAATAATTTTTAATTGTTTTACTTAATACTGATATTCATGAATAAAAATTTCAATGGTCAATATATATGTGCTTGATGCATATGTTTAGTGAGATTTTGATATTATTGTTATTCTCACTTCTTTTTCTGTGCCCAAGACAGAATCAATAACAACAGACTTTATCTGTTTCTAAAAGTTACATAGTTAACTTCTCCTGTGAAATAATTTGGTACTGGTACCTTTGTGGATTTAGGTGTGGGAAAAGACATTTCTCTTACATATCAATTTCTTCTATGATTATCGGTCTACTTAGAATTTCTACCTCTGGAATATTTTGGCAAATTGTATTTTCTTGGCATTTTATCTATTTCACTTAGGTTTTCAAATTATTACACAGAGTTGAGTCAAATCTCTCATAGAATCTTTTAACTTTTTCTTTATCTATGATTATCCCCCTCCACCCTCTCATTGTTTTGCATTTTAATTGTACTCACTTCTCTTTGTTAGGTCAACCAACCATCCTACTGTAGCCTTTTTTCCCCCCAAAAATATTTTACTTAGTAGTGTCCTGTTTCTATTTTATAATTTATTAATTTCTTCGTTTATCCTTACAAATTCTTTCCTTCTGCTTTCTTTGATAATTTCTTCTCAATTTTTGAATTGGACATTTAATTTACTTCTATTTTGTATTTTCTTTTTGAGCACTACCTTAAGTACATTCCACAGATATTATTATACAGCATTTTATCTTTTCTTCATTTTTAAAATATTCAGTAATTTCGATTTTGAAGCAGTTAAGAGGAGGATTTTTTTCATTGCACGTTTTTTACAATTTGAAAATGCTTTACCATTTCCTATGGTTTTCACTCCCCGCCCTTTATCCAAGATAGCCCGGGTCCCGCTTCTTTGCCTCAGGTGCTCTAAAGAACTAAGGTCCCGACACTGGGCAGACGCCCCGCGGAGAAGGCACAGGCCCTCGGGAGACTCGGAAGCAGGGACCTCTCCCCGCCTGCGCCAGAGGATCTACCTTCGCCCGGGCTTTAGCGGTGACGCCCCCTCCCGAATGCCTCGCTAGGATTGGTCTGTTTTTCGGACCTGGACGGTGGCCAGAGGAGAACAAGAAGCTCCCGTTCAGCATCAGCGAACGAAGCGATGCAATTGGCAACTTCGGACGCGCAGCTTCGCATCTGTAAGCGTCAGGCCTCCGGCGGCATGGCGGCGGCCTCACCGTGTCGCAGTTGCAGGTGGCAACGGAGAGGAACCGGTGGTGGCGTCTCCCGAGCCTGCTGCCGCTGCCTGGGTAAGAATAGGTGGAGGGGACGTGGATCAGCGCGCGAGCACGGCGGGGCGGTGACAGGTGCCGAGGGACCCGGGCTTTAAGAGGGGAAGGACAAGAGGACAGAATCTGCTTCTCAGGGAGTCCGCTTTTAGCTCCATTGCCAGGAGGGACCACACCCAGCCTCCTCTTCTCCTCCCCACATAACAGGAGCTACAGAATGCTTTTCCATTTCCTATATTTATACTGCAAGAGGAATCCCCCCCATGAATTCATCCATTATTTATTTGTTATCTGTGAACTCATAGGTTAATTAATATTCCATGGATTATAATCCGTCAATATTTATTTGTGGCTCAACTGGCCCAGTTTCTGGCCAATGGAGTCTCTTCAAGCTGGTTCCTTCAACTTTTTTCACATATCTCCTTCATTCCCTATTTTCTGGCATAAGGTGTTCCAAGCTCAATTTTTTCTTTCTCCTCCTGTCCACAGAAGTAGCTATTTCTCCAAAGAGCTTCAATTCCTTTTTTATACTGTGTATGCATATATATATATACACATACACACACATACACACACAATATGTGATACATAATATGTATTATATACATAACATACTATTATATTACACATAGTAATATATCAATACATAATAAATATAAATAATACATTATTGTTACACCTATATTAACATATACATGATATATATTATATATCATACACATATATTCGTAATATATACATATATCAAACCAAATATAACAGTTCAATATTTATCCATGGGCTTTGAAGTCAGTTGTTGGAGTCTGTATTTCTATTACATAATAATTTAGAATATTCTCTTTTAGACCCAAAAGCTAATTCTGGCACTTGAAGATGATATGGGAGCGACTTATGTCTGCATTGTGAAATTGGTGTTCTAAATGAATTACAAAAATGCAGGATGAGGCAGTACATAGTACTCTTGGCATATAGGAGAATTTCAATGTGTTAAATAGAAGACATCTTTGTAAGTATTGCTGTAGTTTTCCTATAGCGTTTTTTTTTTTTAAACCAATGATATTTAGGTTATATATTTATTTGGGGAATATAATTAAACTAATAAAGCCAGTAGCTATACACTTTGATACAGAGACTTATAAAAATATATTTTATTTTTTTAGAACAGTTTTAGGTTTACAGAAAAACAGAGAAGATAGTATAGAGTGTTCACATATACCTCACACCCAGTTTCCCTCTTATAAGTGTCCTATGTTAGTATGGTAATTTTATGGTACAACTGTAGGGTGGTTACTATGGTACAGTTAATGAACTCATACTCATACATTGTTATGAACTATAGTCCAAAATTTATTCAGAGTTCCTTAGTTTTTTCTTAATGTACTTTTCCTGTTCCAAATGCCATCCAAGATATCACATTACATTTAGTTGGCATGTCTCCTTAGACTCCTCTTGGCTGTGAAAGTTTCTTAGTATTCCCTTGTTTTTGGTGACCTTGACAGTTATGAGAGTATGGTCAATTATTTAAATAGAATGCCCCTGTATTAGAATTTGTCTGATTTTTTAAAAGAGAATTACACAGGATTTGGGGTTTTAGGAAAGAAGACCACAGGTATAAACTCTCATTCTTGTCATTCTATATCAAGAATCATAAGTATTGATATTGATGTCAGTTACTTGGCTGAGGTAGTATTTGTCATCTTTCTCCAATGGAAAGTTACCCTCCTCCTTCCCTCCCTCCATACTGTACTATTTGGAAGGAAGTCACTATGCACAGCTCCCGCTTAACTAAAAAAAATTTTGAACTATCCAAAATGGATCAAGTAATTTATTTTGAATGAAGTAGATTAAAATGTTGGGCTGAGATTAAGGATCAAATTCATGAGATTTACAACAAATTATGTACAAGTATTCAGGTGTACATGAGATTTTTCTCTGGCTGGCAGGTTGGGTATGTGGCACTATAGCTGCAAAGTGCTATATTGTCCTTTCCTCCTGCTGAGAGCAATTGCTTCCCACAATCTCTGTCTTGCTCAATTCTGTAGTAAGACAGGGACGCTTGGTCTCAAACATTCTTTCCTTAGTAATTTTAAGAAAACTGATTTATTTGCTTAATTGATTTGTCAGTATAATTAATGCTTATCTCTTTTTTAAGGTTGTGTTGCTTTCTGCTGCCATGCTAATCAATATGTTGGAAGTTATCAAGAAGTTCATGAGAAAGCCAGTTTCAAATTCTGAAGAAAAACAAAGAGGCAACTCTTGGACATGTCAGTATTTTACAGAAATTTTGGAATAGGGTAATATTTTTGTCATTCGTACACATAAATGTACCTTCTCTAAGGTCTGTGCTAAAATTTCAGAAACTACTATCATGTCTTGGTATTTGAAATAAAGCTAGCAGAGTAAGCACAAGAATCAAAAAATAGCTGAACAGCTGTAACAGAAGAAAAACTGAGATAGACCTCTTCTAAGACACACAAATTCCCACCTTCTAAGAGTTGGTAGAATAATATCTATACTTAGGCATGATTAATAGAATGAGTGGTCTCTTCCAGTGGTAGGGGTGAAAGTTAGAAATCAGATGGCCCTTCATTCCCACTATGATAGAAATTAACATTTTCTCTCTGAAAAACCATAAGAAAGGTAATTATATTCGCTTTGTGACAGATGAGAGACTAACAATTAGGCCAGTCTTTGTAGAACATAGGCAAAGGGTATACTGGCTTCTAGAAAATGCATGTTGGGGATTTCAGTTTTTGATCTGATAAGAGCTGTTCTTTCCTAGTATTATTACTAATTAAGATGTTGTTGATATCCAGGTATTTCCATAGAAAACTGAAGCAGGATCTAGTTACAGTGTAGCCATGAAGTGCTGCATTGTGTTTTCCCCTGCTCAAAATAAAACTGTTACCTTCCAGGCCCTGCCTGCCTTGGTGCCCTAGCAGCAGGGATGCTTGGTCTCATACATGCCTACCAATATGAACACTGACTTGGCAAGTGACTCTGAAGAATCAGGACTTGTTAATATTTTGTAGGTGGTAACAGAAGGAAAAAGATGCTATCAGGAGACAATTCAAATAAGGGAAAAACTATTTTGATTGCTCCTGACTTGCTGGTAAGTATTTTAATTTCTTATTTAATTACATTATTTATCTATCAAAGGTTTGTTTGAGAGGAAGATTTATAGTAACCCTGTCATTTGAAGCTCTGGAGGAGTAAAGATCATACACCACTGGCTGCAGTGGCACATGCCTGTAATCCTAGCCCCCTGGGAGGCTGAAACTGGAAGATCCCAAGTTCAAGACTGGCCTCAGCAACTTAGAGAGGCCCTAAGGAACTTAGCGAGGACCTGTCTCAAAAAGTTAAAAGGGGATGTAGCTCAGTGGTTAATTGCCTCTAGGTTAAATCCCAGTACCAAAAAAACAAAACAAAACTAAATTAAACTAAACTGTACCATTTCATGTAATTCAGTACTATTTTATGCCATACAAGAGCATGCAGTAGTTGCTTTTTGAATACATACTGTCATATGGCAGGTTTTTTATTTTTATGTACAAATTCAATCTATGGTTATAAACTGTGATCACTACTTGTGAAAATTATATTCTCAGTTGAAACTCTGTGATCTGCTTTGAATTCCTTGCTCTTATTCTGATGAAGTAAATTCACATTTTGGTTTTCAAGGTGATTTTTGTCAGCCAAATAACCTTGAAAATCAGGCAAATAAATCAGGAAAATAATCTTATCACCTTATAACAGGATAAGATTTATTTAAATTATACTTGGCAGGATTCTGGTTGGTGAGCATACAGTGGGAAAGCAAATGTGAAATGTAGCCCAGATTTTGGACTTTATAGTGTTGATTTGGAGAGGTAAAAAAATTAAAGATGCTGTTAGACCTGATTGTCTTTAGCTTACACATAAGTCTTTTATTTTGTTTTTAAGTTATATTGCTCCTATTTTGTGTTTTCTTGACAATTGGTATATATTTGGATCTTTCTTAGCATTTTCTGATAGCAGTTCTCTTGACTTTGTCTTAGTTCTAGTGACTTTATCACCAAATAAATTAAATTGTACCTTGCTACTAATGTAAAAATGACTTAAAAAAATACAATTGATAATAGTAAGTGACAAGGTGGTAGTCAGACAATGTCATTGTCCTGATTTAGATTCACATGTGCTGTTTGAATAAAGAATGGTCAGTATTTGTTTTTCTCTTGATTTGGTTATTTTATATTTTAACTTGCTCCAACAAGGACATTTTTCAATCATTGTGCTGTTTTGATAGAGAGCTGTGGTGGCAAACATATTTCAATCATTTATGTTACAGTGTATGTGGTGATCTGAGCAGAGAGCAGTCATAAATACGGGTCAGACTAATAAATCTTTAAAGGTTTTCCTTACTGGAAAAAGTTTCAAGTCCTGTACCAAAGCCATCCAACAGAATGTTCTATGATGATGGAATGATCTCTATCTGCACTATCCAATACAGTAGTGACAGATTACATGGGGATATTGAAATGTGGATAATGCAATGGAGGAACAGAATTTTCTATTTTATTTAATTTTAATTAATTTAAATTTGAATCTCCATAAATGGTTATTGACTGATATATTGGACAACATAGTCTTAAACAATAGTTAACATTCCAGAGTTAACAGTTGCAAAGGTATGTCCAAATGGATTATATAACTGTTCCTTTTGTTTTGTCCCTGACCTTGACATCTGTCCCAGGGTGACATCCACACTTGATTTTAGTATGGGCTTTAATTTTACAACTGCAAACCCAATACTGTTATCTGCTTTAAAAATAGTAATGCTCAAGATACCTGATAAAAATCTCATTTTTCAGCCAAATGAGTCTTGAATGCTTTCATACTAACTACAAAAATCTTTCTTATTCTCTAGATTTTTTTTGGGGGGGGGGCGGTGTTGTAGCACCAGGGTTTGAACTCAGGAGGCACTTGACCACTGAGCCACATCCCCAGCCCTAATTTGTATTTTATTTAGAGATAGGGTCTCACTGAGTTGTTTGCCTCACTAAATTGCTGAGACTAGCTTTGAACTCTTAATCCTCCTGTCTCAGCCTCCTGAGCCACTGGGATTACAGGCATGCACCACTGCACCAGGCTTCTCTAGATATTTTTATCAGTGTCTGGTGCTCCAATTAAAATCACTCCTTATACAATTTTGGCAAATAAGCAGCCATTGATGGTTAACAAGTAGCTCATATTGTTCTGTAGTTCATGTAGTACTTGATAAAATTCTGATTAATAGTTTCTTTTGTTCATATTTGGCAGTGGGAATCAATTTGAGAAGAAAGCTGTCACCATAAAATTAAAGACAAGAGAATTCTTTGTGACATTGAAGTTTTCTACAATATTAGATTGTGTAGGAAATGCCAATAACCATAGCTGATCTTATTTCATTTCTGGGATGAGATAGTTTTAAATTGAATGCTCATTGTCGCTAAGTAGTTGATCACAACATGAATTGTACTTCTTTCTTTGGGAATATTTGAATTTTGTTTTAATGCTGATAGTGGATCAGAAATAGAGATTTTGATACCAAAGCAACTGTCACTATGATTTCATGTGAGGAAATTCACTGGTTTTATCATTTATTAAGACTATCATCCTTACCTCGCCGCCATGGCTGCCTACAAGCTGGTGCTGATTCGGCACGGTGAGAGCGCCTGGAACCTAGAGAATCGCTTCAGCGGCTGGTACGACGCCGACCTGAGCCCGGCGGGCCACGAGGAGGCGAAGCGCGGCGGGCAGGCTCTGCGAGATGCTGGCTATGAATTTGACATCTGCTTCACCTCAGTACAGAAAAGAGCAATCCGAACCCTCTGGACAGTGCTGGATGCCATTGACCAGATGTGGCTGCCAGTGGTGAGGACCTGGCGCCTCAATGAACGGCACTATGGGGGTCTGACTGGCCTCAATAAAGCAGAAACTGCTGCCAAGCATGGCGAGGCCCAGGTAAAGATATGGAGGCGCTCCTATGATGTCCCACCGCCTCCAATGGAGCCTGATCACCCCTTCTACAGCAATATCAGTAAGGATCGTAGGTATGCAGACCTTACTGAAGATCAGCTGCCTTCCTGTGAGAGTCTGAAGGACACCATTGCCAGAGCTCTGCCCTTCTGGAATGAAGAAATAGTCCCCCAGATAAAGGAGGGGAAACGGGTTCTGATTGCTGCCCATGGCAACAGCCTTAGGGGCATTGTCAAGCATCTGGAGGGTCTCTCTGAAGAGGCCATCATGGAGCTGAATCTGCCAACTGGTATTCCCATTGTCTACGAATTGGACAAGAACTTGAAGCCCATCAAGCCCATGCAGTTCCTGGGGGATGAAGAGACCGTTCGTAAAGCGATGGAAGCCGTGGCTGCACAGGGCAAGGCAAAGAAATAAAGGCAAGATCGCAGACCACTGTACCAAGGAAGACCCTGCCCATCCATTCCTTTGCACCTCTCTCCTGCATCACCATACTGACCACATCTGTGGGCATCTTAAGTTGTAGCTGCAGATGGGGACCAGTAGCTCCCACTTTAATTTTAGCATTTTGTCTCCTGCACCCACTCCCTTTGTAGATTGTAATCAGAATAGAAACTCTGGGGCACAGGTTCTCAATCTAAGCCCAGGGAAGGCTCCTCATATCCGGAAGAGTTGAGGTTGTAGTTGTTGGTTTTTTTCTTGAGAAGGGTAGGGAGGAATTGTGCCAAGGCATGACCAATGAGAAGAAGCCAGAGAGCCTGTTTGTGTTTCTAAGAGCCAGTTCTGTACTCTTCTGTATTCAGGTCACTGGGAAGATGGGTAGCAGGGGGCTCTAGTCATTCCAGTGGAATACAAAAGTAACCTGCATGGTGATTTAAGAAAGACAACTCCCTGACCCCAGAGGAGCTGGCTCCAGAATGTTGGGATCAACCCTAACTTTTGTTACATTTACTTTCACTAAAGAAAAGTATATATATAAATAAATACTAAAAAAAAAAAAAAACCTTCTGGGTTTTTTCTAGTGGTGGTTAGTCCCACATGTGGTCACCAGAAACTAAGCCATTCCTCACACCAATATGGGATAAGCTCCTTGGCCTATAAGGTGCAGGAGTATCTTGCTATGTATCTTAGAGAATCTCTCCTCTGCCTTGTTTTGTGGCAGTGAAATGCCTCTTGATCATGTCCAAGCATGTCTTTTACTGTGTCTGATTTCTGAGTCTTGTTCCAGTTGCTTGGCCCTGCCACAAAGGCCCAGTACTTATTTAGCATAACTGTAATAAAATCTTTTTTCCAGATCAGTATAAAAAAAAAAAAAAAAAAGACTATCATGGTTGGGTATAAAAGATGAGGTCTGCCTTAGCAGGTAGCTCAGTGGTAGACCACTTCCCTAGCACACATGAGTCCCTGGATTTGATTCCTGGCACCAAGGAAACAAAACAAAACAAAACAAAAATCCAAAATGGGGTCTGTAAAAATCTTGCTTAGAAATTTATTTACTAATTTTGGTTTTATTGGATGTTTTCTATTACTTAGTAATACACTTATAGTATAAAAGATATGTGCTATGTAAAATCAGCCAATTATGTAATACTAGTGTGTTTGTTTGCCTTTACTGTGTTAGTCATTAGGCTGAGTAGAACAAACTTTAAAATGATTTTTAAGGAAAAAAATTGAATTCATTTTGTATAGTATTTTGTCTTTAATGTAGAAAAGCAAGTATTAAGTGTGAACTAAAAGCCTTTTGTTACATTCCAGCAACAATCATATTAACTCTAGATAAATCCCAGAAAAATTGTCATACTGTATGTTAAACATTCAGTAAATTACATAAATATATTTTTCTCATTCCTGAAAGAGTTATACTTTTTTCCATTACTCCATATTTTCAAAGGAAGATGAAACAGAGTTCCATAGTAAATATTTTATTCCAGTTGCAAAATTTCATACTGATGGGACATTTCATTAAAAGGTTCAATAGTTTTAAGTTACCTGCTGCCTGGCAGTAGCATAGAGACTGATCAGTGAAGGTGTTCATAAACATCTGCTAGTCGTTATCTCCTTCTTAAAAGAAAAAGGAAGCATTTAAATATATATTTCTCCCTCATCTTGTTAGCAACATTTCTTGTACATGGAAGGTAGCTACTAACAGCAAGGTTTTCTGTGTTAATCAGTTGAAGTTATTTTTCCATAACAAAACATGGAGTACTATAGTTGTCCTATAACAGAAACAGTGGCATTGAATGTGATTTTAAAAAATTTTAATACACTATATTTAGAATATTTTAGGCTTAGAAAAAGATTGAGCAGAAAGTACAAAGATTTCCCCTAAACTCCCTTGTTGGGAGCTGCCACATAGGAGCTGAGCGCCCCCTACCTTTAAATGATGGAAATGTGGAGACTGGCTTCCCTGATTGGGAAGCAGGTGGATCCCCATTTCTGCTCAGCAGAGGAACCCGGCTTTGGGAGTGGGCATTACCCAGTGGGGATAGGCTGGCCCTTGTAATCTTACCCCTCTGCCTTATATGAATAGAATGTTTTTTTGAACAGCCTCCCCCAGTAAAACCCGGGTTCAAGGTGTGCTCCCTCTCTTTCTTGCCTGCCTTGCCTCCTTTGTGGGAGCTGGGTCAGAGTGGCATAACAGAACCCAAAGAGAAAGGTATTTTCTCTGTCTGTGTGTCATTATTTTGTACCAGCCCAGTTCTCCTGGAGTGACCCTGACTGATTTAGTCTTGTGTCATGATGCTCCGTGTTCTCACACATGCATTGCAGCCCTCACAATCTCCTTGCACCAGAGTGGTACATTTGTTGCAGTCAGTGAATCTACATTGACACATCTTTATCACCTAAACTCATTGTTCATATTAGGGAACATTCTTGATGTTGAAACCCTGGGGCTTTAGATAAATTTATAATGACATTTATCTTCCAATTTGGTACCATGCAGAATATTTTCACGGCCTTAAAAATTATCTTACTCTATTCATCCCTCTCGTTTCCCCAAGTCCCTGGCAGCCACTGAACTTTTATTATCTTCATTGTTATATAGTTGGAAATATATAGTATGTAGTCTTTTCACATACTATATATTATCTTAGCAATATGCTAAGCTTAGCATATTCATTGAAACATAGAAATATGCATTTAAACTTCCAATATGCTTCTTAGCAATATGCTAAGCTTAGCATATTCATTGAAACATAGCAATATGCATTTAAACTTCCTTCGTGTCTTTTTATGATCTGATAGCTAACTTCTTTTTCATACTAAATAATATTTCATTGTCTGGATATTTCAGGGTTATCCATTCACCTACTGAAGAACATTTTGGTTGCTTTCAAGGGCTGGCAGTCATGAATAAAACTTATACAAACATGTACAGATGCTTATATAGATACAGGTTTTCAATATCTTTGGGTACATAATAAGGAAAGTAAGTGATTGTTGAATCACATAGAAAGAGTATGCTTGGTATTTTAAGAAACTACCAAACTGTCTTCCAAAGTAGCTGTACCATTTTGCATTCCCCACTAACATCACATGAGAATTCCTACCACTCCACATTTTCTCCAGCATTTGATATTGTCAGTGTTCTATGATCCTTATATTTTCCTACTCACAATTACTTATCAACCTGTCTCTTGACCACAGTTTAAAATTTATCAAAATAACTACTCTGATATGAGTGAATTTCCACCAGTTGTTTCCATCAGTATCACCCAGAAAACAATATGTTTATGAATTTATGATGAGAGCAACCCCCTGTCCTTTCTTGGTGTTGACATCTACCTTTCTTCATCGTGGAACTATTGTTATGAAAAGACAGATGCTAGAATCCTTGGAAGTAAAATATTAACTAAAATCCATCACCGTCTTCACTAATTCAAGGTAAAAAAGAGATCCTAATAAATAAAACAAAGGGGGTGATATCTCCCCTGATGTCCACTCCCTACAGAGATTGGAATGCTGGAGATAAATGCATACAGATAGGACAAAGAACATCTTATAAATTTTAAATATGTTGTATTACAGAATTTGCTAGATGGCCTTGATGGCCCTGTGTTTTAGCCTATTTTGCCTTCTATAACAGAAAAATATATACTGGGTGGCTTATAAAGAGCCAAAACTTATTTATCACAGTTCTGAAGGCTAGGAAATCCAAGATCAAAGGACTGGCAGATTTGGTAACTGGTGAGGGCCCACTTCCTGATTCATAGATAGCCCTTTTCCTGCTGTGTCCTTACATGGTGGATAAAGAACAAGGGAGCTTTCCATGGTCGCTCTTATTGGGACACTAGTCCCATTAATAATTGTGGAATCCTCGTAACTTAGTCAACTACCAAAGATCCCACCTCTTAAAACCTGACATGGAAGGTTAGGTTTTCAAATCTAGAGTGACACAATATCTAACTTGTATCATTTCACCCATGACTGGCAGCTATCAAGAATACAAACAACAATAGTGTTGGCGAGGATGTGGGGAAAAAGGCACACTCATACATTGCTGGTGGGACTGCAAATTGGCGCAGCCAATTTGGAAGGCAGTATAAAGATTCCTTGGAAAACTTGGAATGGAACCAACATTGGACCCAGCTATCCCACTCCTTGGCTTATACTCAAAGGACTTAAAAACAGCATACTATAGGGACACAGCCATATCAATGTTTATAGCAGCACAATTCACAATAGCTAAATTCAGTAGATGAATGGATAGGGAAACTTTGGTATATATACATAATGGAACATTACTCAGTATTAAAAGAGAATAAAACCGTGGCATTTGCAGGTAAATGGATGGAGTTGAAGAATATAATGCTAAGTGAAGCAAGCCAATCCCAAAAAACCAAAGGCCAAATGTTTTCTTTGATATGAGGTTGCTGACTCATAATGGCAATGTCGGGGGTGGGGGTTGGGGGTGGGGAGGGGGGAGCATGGGAGGAATGGAGGAACTTTAGATAGTGCAAAGGGGAGGGAGCAAGGGGGTAGGAATGATGGTGGCATGAGTTAGACATCATTACCCTAAGTACATGTATGAAGACACAAATGGTGTGAAAATACTTTGTGTACAATCAGTGACTTGAAACGTTGTGCGCTATATGTGTAATATGAAATGAATTGCATTTTGTCATTGTATATAATAAATATAGAATAAATAAATAATAAAAAATAATTACATTCTAATAGTCCCCCAAATCTTTACTCACTCTAACATCACTTCTAAATTCTAAAAAATCTCATCTGAATATCTAAATTCAGTATGGGTGAGAATCAAGATGCAACTCATCCTGAGGAAAATGGCTTTCCAGTCATGAACCTCAGAAACTAAATAAGTTCTGTGCTTCCAAAATACAATGGTAGGACAAGCATAGGATGATCATTTCCATTCTTCAAAGGGAAAGGGGTAACAGATCTCAAGTACATCCAAAATTAAGGGCAAACTCCATGAGATGAGATCTTAAGCCTCAAGGATAGTCCTCTTTGGCTAGATGCTCTGCATTCAGGCCCAGCCCACCAGAAAGGAGACCTTGCCTTCCATTCATGCTGGGGTGGTAGTCTAGCCCCCAGACTTCTGTCAATCAGAGATTGTGCCCCACAGCTCTTAGTTTCCCTTCATTCTTAGCTTCTGCCAAATCTCTGTCTCTCCACGGCTTACAGAGCTTGCAGAACTTGCAAGACTTATAAGGCTTGCAGAGGGCCAGTTTGAGACCAAAGGAAAAAAATGTTGTTACTTTTATATTCAAGCTGCTGTGGGACCTAAATGGCTAGCTATCTTATCTGCTTTTATACTCTACGACCCTGCTTTCTTACAGGTTCCTCCCTAAACACTACAGCACAGGAAGGAAAAATGGAATGATCTCATATATACAATCCTTCTTTACCTTGAGAATCTTTACCTGAGGATTTCAGCACTCTCACATTCTTTAGATATCTAAAGAATCTGAGCCAAAAAGTCTACCCTAATCTTATAAAGATTTTTTTTTTGATATGAGGATGCTGACTCATAATGGCCAAGACCAAATCCAGTATGGCTACTCAAAATGCTCCTTTACTAGAGTAATTACAGCCATGTCATGTTTTGGGGGACTCCTGTTTGTTTTTTTCTATATTTTTGAGCTCATGGTTATGGTAAATTCACATTTGAGCCTGCATGCTTTGGATCCAGTTTCCATGCTAGGGCTCTAGCTCTATTTCTCTTGCCTAGCATGCATGACATCCTGGATAAGGCTCTGGGTTTGAGCCTGAGCTCTGGGGGAGAAAAAAAAATGTCATCTCAGTGGGATTTTGAAAACAAACTGAGATACATAATGTTCATCTTTCTAGTTTTGTTCTTATAGAAAACTGATACAGAGTAAGGAAATATCCTCCCCTGGCCCCAGGCTGGGAAAAGTTTTAATAAGTTGTTAGCAAGATAAAATTAGAATATTGATTTCTATTAGTCTAGTATTTCTTTCACTCCACCTGTAGTGGCTGATGCCTGAAACCTTCAGTAATATTAGAGCTTACTAAATTGAGGTTAAATCATGTTTGCTTTTAATTGCCATTCATTCCTGCTGGGAGCCATTAGCCAAGTAGGTATGACAATTTCCTTGCCAGCGTACCACAATTAACATGGGGTGCACTGGCAAGGAAATTGTCATACCTACTTGTATTATAGTATCATAAAAAACATGAAAGTCTTTCATCTTATTAAAGTGGAGTAATTTGTCTAAATCAGAAATTTTATAAGAGTTGTTTCAGAATGTGAATTTATAAAAAGGGTTAACGGTTAAAAAAGAGATAGAAAAAGATTCAAGATGTGGAAATATATTTTAATATAAAAGGTTAAAGGAGAAAGAAATGTTTCTAGATGAGATAAT